ACAGATATTAAGATGTTAAAAGCTATAATTCCTATTGTATTTTATATTTTACCTGTGTAACTGTAGTATTAAAAAAGATTTTTAGCTACCACTGAGGCAAAGCTGACCCAACTCAAAAGTCAATTAGCTGCTGCTTGACATTCCAAGAATAATTTTCTCAGCTATGTAAGCTCTGTACCTTGGAAATTAGAAAGGCTGCTTCCATACATAGCATTTAGCAGTTCATCTAATTCAGGAGTGGGGAATCATGGCCCCTTTGTGACTTGTGGACTTCAACTCCCAGAATTCTTGAGTCAGCCATGCTGGCTCAGGAATTGCGGGAGTTGAAGTCATAACAGGGCCATCATTTCCCACCTGTGATTGAAATATTCCCTGTAGTCCATTACTCACAAGCCTTAATTGCTCATTAGGAGCTATTTATTTACATTTATTATAAACAATAGCTACTTGTGAGGAGGGAAATAACAATAATCAGCACTCTAATTTTATATGTCTTGCAATAATGGACCAGCTGTCAAGGGTAAGTCTGCTCTGCTTCACTACCCAGTTCTGGAGTCAGATAACCGTCTAGTTTTTAATGGGAAAAAACTGCCAGATCACACCTGGAAGGAGCTTATTTCAAATTTTTACAAGATAGCTGAAGTATTTTTTTCCTTCCTTAATGAAGAGACTGTCAGGTCAACCAGGTGTCCTGCCATTCTATTGGAAGTGGGGGAGGCTGGCATGCTTTGGATGCTTTTTCCTGGACACTTGGGAATTAGGAAGGGGGAATGTCTTTGGAAATAGGAGAGACTTCCTCCCAGCCGGTTCTAGCCTGGTTCCAAGGCCGTCGTGCCCTGAGAGTGTCCTGTTATCTGCTTCACACCTCAGCATTCTCAAAACATCTTCTTGGCATTACATTGGCTGCCAGTGGACTGGTCAAAGGGGTTGGATTTGGATAAATGAAAGAATCGCTTTATGCTTTGCACAGGATCTTCAGATTCTGCCTGACTTTTTACTGCAACCACTTTCTCTCAGTAAAAGTTCTTTTGAGTCAACTCAATGGATTCAAGAGTTTTACTTTCCTGAGGGACCAGCTGAGGCACGTCCTTACAGCAACACATCCCAGAGTGGCCATATGGCCATGCAATATACTTTTGTATCTACTGTGCCTATGTTAATATGGGCAAATATTTGATTAGATTGGGAATAAATAGCAATGGAGAAAAGGAACTTTTGGGAGAAATAAAACTTACAGGGAAAATATCAATAGGAGATTTGGGTTAGGTCACATTGCAAAAAAAAAAATAAATCAGGAGTCTGATAGCATCTTTTCCAGCTAACTAGTTTTATGAAAAGACATAGGCTTTCATGAGCTGTAGCTTATGTCATCAGATCCACAAAATGGCTAGACTGATTTTAGATTTAAACTGGGATGAGGTGGGAGAAGAAGGGGAAATGTGATTATGCATATTACACATAACAGAATTTATAGAATTTGGAAAGCATTATGAGTATCAAACATACAGGAAAGGACGGTCAAACTTTTGGGAATGTAAGCCACACTTTTCTTTGTAAATCTGATGCCATAATAGGTACTTCTGGAAGATACATACACATGGGAGTTACCAGAATTGTCCTGCTTGCTTTTCCTTACAAGAAAGTTTGAAGGAACATTCTAGAAGTTGGTGCCTTCACTTGCAAGGAATACAACTCTGACTATCTCAATCAGCAAGGCTACTGGGCATTTTAAACAGGAATTTGTGCTAAGGGCAGATGAGAATATGAAAGAAAGCCAATGAATAATTACATCACGTTGTCTAACTGAAGTGAATACATTGGCCAGTTACTGGAAAAGGCCAATATGTGCTTGGAATGGTCAATTGTAAAAGGAAATAAGACTGCCAAAAACAATAGTTAGACACCATCAAAGCCACACCACCCAGAGCATAAAACAACTGAAAGAAACCATACAAGATTAGAAAATGTGGAAAGAGCTGGTCCATAGAATTGCTGAGAATTGGACATTGTATTGTACAGAAGCATCATCATCTGAATACAGAACAAACTGTGGTAGCAATTTGAAAGAAAAATACACATGCAATGTCTGAAGGGAGGTGCAGAAAGTCTTTTATGCATATTTTCCTATGTCAAACTAAGGGACAGAACTTGCTTTAACAGAATCTTGCCATTCTGATTTAATTCACTGTCAAAGTCTCCATTTGATCTGAAACACTTCTCTCCTTCCCTCACCAAACTTAACTTTTCAAGCTCCATGCCTAGGAAGGTTAAGTCACCACAAAAATATTTTTTCCTCCTTTAAAGAAGATAAACTGTCAAGGCCTTTTCTAGTTCTATTCACTGACTCATAGTTAGTGCATATAACAAACAAAAGAAAAATCACTGCCTTATTTAGCTGTATAACGTTGTGTTTTGAATGTTAAACTGGCTAGCTACACAGTCTAAAAAAACCTTAAAGAATATGATCCTAGACAATAAAATATAATAATAGAATATTTAGAATCTTAGGAAACAATGAATACATATTTCCTTTTTTTCTATGATATTATCTTTATAAAATTTTATTAAGATAGACTTGCTATGACTTGATGATTTGCTATAAAATAAATTAAGTAAACTATAGTTATCTCGCTAAAGTATGAATTAATAAAATTATAGTCAAATGATTGTTTAATAATGATATCAGGCTATATAATTGTTGATTGATAATATGAGCTATTATGCAATATAACTACAATGGAGACTATGAAATGGATGCACAAAAAAAAAGTGATAAACCAACCGATACACTGTCTGTAAACTCATGAAGGAAAGGATGTTTTTATGTTTTATGTGTGTTTGTTTGTTGTTAAAATTAATAAAACTTTTCAAAAAAAAAAAAGAATATGATCCTGCGTCATATACAAATGCTAGAAAATTATTTGATGGGTGTGCGTTTATACGTCTTTGAAATAAATGCAACAAGTTTATAACATCTGATGACACTACCAGATTTGAAAACAAACAAGTTCCAGATCTCCTTTCTATTAACATGAACTCTTTTTTCTAGCAAATGCTCCATTGCTTCTTTTGCACTTTCAATACCAATAGATTGGATGGCTACACACAATTTTGTAAGTATGCCTACATCCCTATCTATTATTGTGTGTCATGAAATTTTCATAAATATCTATTTCAGATTCTGCTGAGACCTGCCATGTCAAAGGTTCTTAAAAGAAGGGAAATGTAGTGTTGGAATCTGGGTTCAGTTCCAAGTGGGAAGAAAGACACTGGAAACACAGGGACTACTTGGAAGGATGGTTTAATGGTGGACAGGACCACATGGAGTGGAGAGTGAGATATATTTATACCCTCTCTTGGGCTTTGAACTTGCTTCCTGTTCCTGTGAAAGAAATGTATTCTGATTGGTTGTCAGACTCCCATGGGGCCATGCAGGGGTAACTTTGTAGGTTGTCTTGAGTCCCAGGCTTGGTTGAATCTTGCAGGGAGCTATAGGGAACTGCTTGGCCTTTAAAAACTTGTTTCTCCTTTTCTCATCCAGGGAAATATAATATTCTGCCTTTTAATATTTCCTAGAATATTTCATTGTTCTAGGAGAGGGGTGGGTACTAAGTTTCTACAATAGTCAGTTCTGTTTTCTGGGAGAACATAAAATAAAAAAAATATTTACAGTACCACACAATTGGATTGATTTAATGCTTTTTTTGCATTTTTAAATGCAAAATTCCAGTTGGTTGAACTAAATAATTAGATAACATGTAACTAGATAACATTCCTCATTTTATTCTTAATTCTGCAAAGCTGAGTTGTAAATGGCTTTTGTTTACACATTACCCTAAGCTATCATCTTCACCACGGTTTGTTGTAACCACTGTGCTTCCTGACATCTTACATTAGCCCATAAACCAGACTTTACAACGACATCATCATTATGGTTGAACATATATAGAAATCCTGTAACCAGGATTACTAGTTTACTGAATGATTGATCTGGCCTTTTAAGCTGCATTGCATGATGGGACTTTAATTTTAACAGCACAATATAAATTCCTTCATGATATTTCAGTGGGCAGTTTGGACACTAGATATAGTGATTGTAGAGTTCACAATCCTGTTTTCTCTGATTTCTGCCCTCAGGAAGCTGGCTAGGTAAAAAAACCCCAAATATTTTGGCTTTCTAGGCTGAGGTAGAAAACACAAACAGGAAATGAGGGTTTTCCCTTCAATTGTTAATCAGCCCACAGTCCCAAAACTCAATTCAAAAAATTCAAAGTGCCCAGGGAAGGAGAAATTCTGTTTATCTGTTATCTAAGACCAAGTCACAAATTTAAAATACAGTAAGAATTAATTCTTACATATATGAGGGAAAAACCCTATAAGCAATTAATTGGAGGTATCAAAAACATTTCTGTAAGGTACAATTTTGCTATTGCCTTGGAAATACCTCAATATCCATAGAATAGAGTCTATCTGGCACAACAGGCAGTTGTATGGGTTTTGATTGCCAATGAGAATATAGTGGGCATTTTAGAAGGACGTGTGAAACAGTCACAATTTCCATATTAAGTACGTATGCAAATCAATACTCAATCTTCATAGGGAAATTTGTCATATTAACCAGCTATCACTTAATAGGAAGAGCAGGTTAAGCAGAAGACACTTCAATGTGGGAAACACAGAATCCTCTGGATGAAATTGAGGAGCGTCCAAGAGAAAATTTCGTTTGTAAGGCACATGGGGAAAGTCCGACCACCAGCCTGGCCAGTTAAGCGGCCGCAGCAAGAGCCTTCAGCGGCGTTGGATAGGAAGGGTAGTTTTCTTCATCTCCTCCTCCTTCATTGTGCGCGCGGCGGAGCCAAGTTGGGCGTCGTTCCTTCAGTCCCGCCCTTCACTTCTCCACCCCCTCATCGAGCTAGCTACGAAATGGGAACAAGCCGTGGGTTTTGTGGGAACAGTTATGGGCGAGGTGGGCGCTTGTGCATACACAGGACGCATTGATGTTTTTCAAGGGCAGCAGCATCAGAAGAAAAGTGTACCTTTGTGACTGAGCAAATAAAGAAGCCGATCACCTCCTCCAGGTTTTTATGACCCAAACCCCAATGACAGAGAGAAGAGCCTCCGTTCTTGGCTCAAAATTGCGCTTTCTCTGTCGCTTTCTAAGGAGCCTTAAGCAGAATTCCCTTCCTTCCGGAGTACAGACTCGCAGAGGCTGACTTTTGCACCTTGGATTTCGGGACCTGAGCATATGCAATTAAAAACATGTTTTTTTTCAGGGGAGGAGCGGAAGGAAAACTTGGCGAAGCGCTGCAACAGATCTACCACACCCACCTCCAGATTCAATTTGTTTCAAGCAAAAGCCCTTTCCCCGCCGAATCTGGCTTGCAAAGAGCTTCGCGAAAGGGCGCCTCTAAGACCTCTCACAAGCGACGAGCCCAGGAATCGGAGGAGGGGGAATTAAAGAGGTTAAACCCCGTTACAAGGAAATATTTCACACTTCAAAGTATTTCCAAGCTGCCATTGCTGACGGCCCAAAACATTGGATTCGAGGGGATGGGCTGGCGCATGCTTGCCTAAGCAAGCCCAGAGGCCATGTCGGCACTCGCAGTATAAAATACCTTGGCAACATTTTTTCCTCCCCTGTTCTTAAAACTCCACCTCTTCTCAACTCATGAGTAAGACGGGCTTGAGTCATTCTAAATTGTTTTGAGGTTAAAGTAGCGTTTCCCTGCTAAACGTTTGCTGTATTTTAAAGCTGTTTACCCATGTAGTGTGGTTGTATTGCTTTTATCCTCATTTTTCCTACTACCTTCTATTGGTATCTTATGAATGATCACTTGTTTGTATCTTATGATTGTAACTATAATTTATGATCAATGACTTACCACTTGGTTGGTTGTATGTACACTGAGCTTATGCATCGGAAACAAATTTGTGTGTCCAATCGCCAATAAAGAATATTCTATTCTAAAGCCAGCGAGAGCTCCAAATCACTTTGCTAGGCACCACAAGCGAGGTCAAATCAGGTGGTTAGCAGCGGGAGGGGGCAGAGAAATACTTATTGGTGGTTTCAGGATGAGATGAAGCTGCCTCTTCCATTTGGCCATTCTATTGTCTCCCCAGGGAGCTGCAAGCCGTTAAGTCGTGCCACTGCCTGATTTTGCTGGCGTGCTTAGCTGGGAGTACAGAAAGTGCTTTATAGATTTTGCCGTGTGGTGCGTAGTGCGTAGTTCAAGTATCAAACCAACGGAACGGTGTGGCAACTCCCTGTGCCTGGCCTGCAGAACAAAGCACGCAGGCATCTGCAAATCAGCATGTATTGGCTACCTCAAAAAAAAAAAAAGGCGAGATACCCTAAGGAAAAGTGCTGCCTATGACTCAGCTCCTTTTGTGACTCAGATCAGTTAAAACGAAAAAAACAGCTTGGGTTGTGACAAAATGGGGAGTAGGAGGTTGAAGACAGGAAACAGACCACAATCCCGCAGTAAGTCTCAACCTGCTGCTGCTGCTGTGTTGCAATTGGTGGACATTTTGCTTACGGGCGGATCACGTACAAAAGGGGGAGACCAATGCCTGTATGTCACCCCTCCCCCCCCCCTTTTTGCAGTTTAATTCGGTAATAAGGAAAGGCCTCTATATAGCATGGCACCTACTGCCATCTGCTGAGCATGGTGTAGAATGACGTTGACAAGCCTATTGGTGTTTTAAAACGTCATCTGGGCTTCATTATGCTAAAATTGGAGATAAATACGAAATACTTCGTGTCGAAATTGGCAGAAAAATCGCGTGAAAGAGGGCCTTGAACTCATCTTTATTTCCTTTGTGAATGCAAGGATTATTATGCCTCTACGGACCTGCAGAAGAAATACTTTGCAATTCAGCCCTAGGAAGCACGCCAGGCAAGTCAGTCTGGATTTCTTAATAAATATTGTCCTTTGGCACACACTTAAAGGAAGCGAAGACTGGTATTTATAAAGGAAAAAAGCAAGCTGAGTCAATGTACAGAACACTCATGTTCTCAGAATATTTCCCAGTACCGAGTACAGCATGAACTGTGCAGAAATCTCTCAGAGGGAAAACTCAATCAAGAACTACAGTATTGATTATAATGGATTCTGCAATTGTCTTCCAGTCTGCAGAGGAGAAAAACACATTTTCTGCAAGACTCCCTGGAGATGAGACCTAGTAAGTGAAAATCATAGGTTACAGGCTTGAAAATGGATTAAAGTTCATGGATGGATGATAATAAATTAGAGGGATGAAGCCCCAAAGAAGATTGGGTACCTAATAATACTGTAATTACAATAGCACAACAGTGAAACTGCATGTGCAAAATTTTAAGGTAATCAGAAGAGAATTCAGTAGAAACTGTTCTTTAGCCAGCTTGGTCCACTATAAATGAACTATGAGTTAAGTTGTATTATTCAGAGCAGATTCTTGAATTTGTGTTATGAAGGTGATAATCCCATTTGACATTTTATGAGAATTTTTTGTTTCAGTGTTTGAGAATTATTTACTGGTTTTGAATTATGTATTGGTGCACATATTTACTTTAAAAGAGCCTTTATCAAAATTTTAAATTATCTTTTAAAAACACATTGGCACATCTTGATTATTACTACTTTGGATGCTAAAAAAATTTATTCAGCATATTTATATACAATTCATAGTGACTCCAGGAGCACACAACATTATTACAACCACAATTGAACCCAACATTTTTGTTACTAAGCAAGGTAATTGTTGAGTTGTGCCTCGTTTTATGACCTTTTTGCCACAGTTGTTAATAAATCACTGTAATTGTTAAGTGAATCTGTTTCTCCCATTGACTTTGCTTGTTGGATGCCATCTGGGAAGGTTACAAATGGTGATCACATGACTCCAGGACAATACAATCATAAATACATGTTAATTAATAACCACCAGAATTTTGATCATGGGACCGTGGGGATGTTGCAACAATTATAAGTATGAAAAATAGTGATAAGTCACATTTTTGAATGCTGTTGTAACTTTGGATGATCACTAGATAAATGGTAAGTCAAAAACTACCTGTATTTGAATAGGCCAATACCTGATATAGGTAACACCTTTAGGCAATTAGTTTTCCCCAACATGTTTACTTTCTATGTGGAGGGTATATTTCAGTGATATGAAATCCTAAATGTTGGGTTCTTAAAGTATAAGGCTTATTTAAAGAGGTTCAGTCAATTTCAAATTATACCAGTAGTGAAAATATTGCTTTTCTTCATAAAACTGTTGAAGGTTGTTTTTTTTTTTTCTTGAAATCTCATGATGAAAATACTTTATTGCCATGTTGTAAATTCAGCAAAGACTGGAAGTTATCCTTCCAATATTCTTCTTGTGGGCAATTTTTTAAAAAAAGAATTTTTATTTTTTAAGACAAACATACATATACAAAATATAAAAACATAAAACATCTTCCATTTTATATACATACAGTGTGTCAGTTGGTTACAAATCTTTTGTGCTATTCTTTTGTAGTCATTACTCAACAGTTTATATCAATTTTCACATTGTCAAACTAACATATGTTTATATATTTATCAGTTATTAATCATAACTAAACTATTTATTCCATCATTTTATATGAGATATTCCAAATTTAATCTTAAAAATTATGTTATACTTTCAACCAATTATATAATATATAATTGTTATATATGTCTATATTATGTTTTATATCAATCTATTAAATTTCTAACACAGAATTATCTAGTCAATTACATTACCATGTATTTTTGTCCAACCATTGATAAAACAAATCCCATATCATATAAACTTGTTTATCTTCTTGTTCTCTAATTTCAAATGTCAATTTACTCATTTCAGCACAGTCCATAATTTTCTTAATAACTTCCTCCTGCATCAGTATTTTATCGTTTTTCCAATTCTTAGCAAATACAATTCTAGCCGCTGTTAAAACATTTACAATCAAAATATTTCAGCTCTTTGTTGTATATTTCCAGTATAATTCCCAATAAAAAGATCTCTGGTTTAAAGTCTATATGTTGTTTTATCATTTTTTCCAATCGTGTGGATTTTAGTCCAATATCTTTTTGCATCCGAGCATGTCCACCACATATGGTAATATGAACCAGGTATCTGATGACATTTCCAACATTTATCCGATTCTTAAACATTCTCGCAAGTCTGGTGAGGTAGATGCCACCTGTAAAACATCTTATACAAATTTTCTTTATATGCAGTTGACATTGTCATTTTATAATTTTGAGACCACAATTTTTGCCATTTTTCTAAATCAATCCCATATCCAAATTTTTTCCTCCAAGCAATCATCGAAAACTGTTGAAGTTTGAAGTGCTTTGTCCTTAAATCTCCATACTTCTACTTAAAAACTGAGTTTTACCCTATTTGGTAAATTCTTTGTATTCTGAATAATTTTGCTGAAAGATCTCCACTGCTTGGTTGCCATAGAAATCCAAGCTTGATGAATAATACATTGCCATTGAGGTAATAGTAAAATTATTCTCATGAAAATATGTGTTATTACTCTCCTATCAATTCAGTGGGATGCATTGCAAGTAAACTTATCAAACTGGAGAAATTAATTTATTAAATATCCATTATGTATAATAAAGCAGCCATGACATGTACACAATGACAATAGAAGCAAAACTATGTTCCACCATTTGGTGTCACTCTTCCTTTATATAAAAAAATTATTGGTCTTGGTGGAAAACAATGGACAAGTCTGAAAATCTATTTCAAATTAGTATAGAAAAAAAAAGCAGATTGGTTTTGGAAATACCTGATGTCACGGGTGTATAAAAATAATAAAGAGATAGCATTAAGTAGAGAGTTACTCTAGGCATTTGCTATCTTGCTGTTGCAAAAAGATTTCCTTAATTGTTAATTTCCTTAATTGTTGTAAAACAATTATAAACACATGCCTGCAATCAGTTACATCCCTCTTCTATTAAGACACATGATTGCCCCATCTACATCAATCTGAATCCATCTGTTTTCCTGGATTGATACATTTCACCCCAGCATCACCCCCTGGGAATGAAAGGTACCTCTCTGGGAATGTAAGGTACCTCCATTCCACACCTTTGAAGTATGCTGTTAATTAGCTTCCTTAAGTGGTCAATTGTGATCAATTAGATCAGTGGCAGTCAACCTGGTCCCTACTGCCCACTAGTGGGTGTTCCAGCTTTCATGGTGGGCGGGTGGTTAAATTTTTTTACTCCTAACAGAGATACAAAAGTGGGCAGTAGGTATAAAAAGGTTGACTACCCCTGAATTAGATGGATGATAGGAAGAGATAATGAAAGGTAAACATTGCCAGAGAGAGATTTGTCTTTTGCAGGAAAGATGTAAATCTAAGTTAGAGTGATTTACAATGCAGTTACTCGACTTCTAAGAATCTTAAAGGTATAAGAAGGAGAGGGCATCTTTCTGTATTTTGTAGAATTTTCCTCCCATGTCTCTTGTGATGTGCTAGGAACTTCTTACCCAGATCTTTAACTTTGATCACAGAATAAAAGTCTGCTTTCTTTGATTTGCAAGCCTCTGTTTTAAGTCTTTGTTTTGGTTCATTTTTGACTTAAGCGTACTGCCTTACAGAACTTTTGCATTTGTTTTTCAAAATTAGGTTGCATTCTCCACATCTCTTAATGGAAAGAAGCCTCAGTCTAAAGCATGGATATGAAACTCATGGAGTCACATTGCCATTAGATGTTTTGTGACTTTTTCCCTTTGCAGAGCTGAGGTGGGCATGGCCTGTGTGTGACACATCTGGCCCATGGGCTGCCAGTGTGACACGCCTTTTCTAAAGCAATACTGCAGGGAAAATTATTCTTGTAGGAACGAAAGGGGATGTA